TTTTACACAACACTTTATTTTAAAATGAAAATTTTTAATTTTTAATTAATTTTAATTAATATTTTATATATTTTTAGATTAAAAAAAAAAAAAAAACCTACTATTGCAATACAATGTACTACAAGATAGCATCACCAAACTACGCCTTAGATATCTTATTAATTAGTTCAACCATGCACGTTATAAATATAATTAAGATGATGAAATATACTGCATGCAAATGCAAGACTTATTCTTTTTGTTTGATGAAGCACATGCAAGACTTTGTAAATTAAAATAAGTGATTTGGTTATTTATTTATTCTGACGTTTTTATATTGGAATTGTGAAAATTTTTGATATCTTAGTAATTAAAATGTAAAGAATGATAATAAAAAGACTAAAATATTCTTAATAAATCAAAATGCAAAAAGAATATTTTAAAGGTATTTAAATAATTTTATAAAAAGTTTTGGTATTTAAAGTGTTATAACATCTTGATTTTCATGTTTCTCTTTTAAATTGCAAAAAAAAAAAAGAAGTTTTTTACAGGTAGACGATATATTAAAAGTGTAGTTCATTTAATGAATTTATTAAAATTTTAATAAATTTATAGAACTGCACTTTTAATGTAGGATTTAATCTGTATTACATGAATTTAAATTATACAAAACTCGGATTCCTTTAATATCATCTGGGCTCAGCCCTTTAATCATCCCTGGCCCAATATTTGGAAACATAATGGCATCTCCATTCGAGGAATGGCCTAGGCCCAAAATATGGCCCAATTCATGCAGCGCCACCGTCTCCAATTCGAACAACTTCGGCAACACGCCGACCACCCAATTCTCATCGGCATCGAAGTGAAACCTCTCACCCATGGGCGAAAAGGCAGGAGCAAGAACCCCACGAGGCCTATCGAAAGTGACTCCATCTCCATGATCCCACCTCTGGAAACGGATCTTAAAATCCGCTTCGTCATGGTCCTCCACCAAATTGAATATGAACGTTGTCACGTTTGCCCACTTCACCAATGCGTTCGCCACCGTACCCACAGTGCCGCTGGAAGTTCCAGCTCCCATTTGGGGTTTCCAGGGAAGAACTCGTAATGAGAATTCCCAAATTGGTTACCCGAATGCATTCTCGTCGTGCCGTTTGTGATATACGGAACCCCACAACGGGGCATTGCTATGGGGGATACAGTTTCGGCGTTTAGGGTTCCGGTGACCTTCAGATGGTGATTTAGTTGTTACGTCCTGATCGCCGACTCTGTAATTTCATCGAAATAATCATCGCCGTCGGTAAAGAACCGATCTTTTGCAGTATTTGTTTTGGATAAGTGGCCAAATCCCCTGAGGTACATTTTTGAGTTGATGAATTCCATTAATTTTGTCACCCTTCGGAGTTCCCTGAAGATTATTCAATACCTCAAATGGATTTTGTTTAGGGTTTGAACGTGCAGAAACAGAGTGAGAAAACAGGGGAGGAAGCAAGAGTAAGGAAATGACTGAAAAAAAGAACGTAAAATTTCTAAACTCCATGCATACGTAAATAGAAGTTGTATGCTGATATTATTGGAATTTTCTTTCTTTTTATAGTCTTATATAAGTGTTCATTAAAAATTGATATTAAAAACTGATTAAATAGAATAATAAGTTCGGATTTGGTCACAACCTATTAATTTGAGATGCATTCTCCTTCTCCCATCGGCGAGTTCGAACCCACACCTTCACAACTTGTTACAAAAAAAAAAAATAATAATAATAATTAGCCATTGATTTTGTTATGAAGTGGTAGATTGAGCCGATGATTTTGAGAAATATTATAATTAAAGCCAGCAAGATTGGATTCTAAGCAAACTCTAACTGGCACCAACAAAAATATTGTCAATCTTTATTGAAAATGACGAAAATATCAACACTCGAGTTTGAATGTATCGACGAGAGAACAATTTTTCAATGAATAACGATAGAGAAGACGGAAATTTGGAATGAAAATTTGAAATTAGTGATATGGTTTATATTATATCTTTAAATTAGTTGATATATATAATATTATTTATATAAAAAAATAAAAAAATTAATTATTAAATAATATAAATTTTATATTTTAATATTTTAAATGACATAAATTTTACCATGTTATTAATCTCAAATTTTGATTTTAAATTTTGATTTTATTTATCATTATTCTTTTTCAATCTTCAAGTGGATAAATACTTATTTTTTATTAATTTATCAGTACACAAAGAAAAATTTTCATTATCACGATTTGTTTTGGATAACCATATTTAGATAGCTTAATGCATTTTTTTCTTTGCATGCCTTTCAATTCAATTAAAAAATTGCATCCGACTCTTTGGGTCAAGTAGTCTCCGACCACCCGATGTATTCCCCTATCCCTAGGCAGGGTTCAACCCCGCCCCATGTAATATTGTTCAAAAAAAAAAATTCAATTAAAAAATTTTGTTTGATATATAACCAAGCAATCATCCATGGCCAGCATGTGGCATAATCAAAGTCGGACAAAAACAAAGGAAAATACAATGTACTATAAACAATTATATATATCAGTAATTCAGTAGTTATGAACTTAAAATTTTGGTTATGAATTTAAAATTTTAAATTGAAGCTCTTAAATTTGAAACTTAAGTTAGGTGAAGAGAAATTTAGAGAAATAATAGAGTTATGATTTATTGTATAATCCATTATTATTAGATGTATAAGAAAAAAAAACATATATATTGGGTGTGTAAGAAGTCAAGGCAAAACCAACCGTCTAAGGAAAAAATCAAAGGACGTCCGACATTTGCGGAGGTTATTTCAACGAGAAACCAACCATTTTCCGACCACCTAATTAGGATTGAGTATTATTACACAACCCAATGGAAAGGAAGAAGAAAGTGGTGGAGAGAAGGAGAAAGAGGGAGTGCAAAAGCAGTCTCTCTTTTTTTGGATCTCTCGAACACACAATTACACAATTTAATAGAATAATACTCAACAAAATCTTTAAATAAAAGCATAAACTTCATATAAACATCACCTTTCTTTTTCTTTTTTTTTTTTCTTGTTCTTCCTTTTCTTCTTCAGCAGGCAACATTTTTATTTCTGTTTGTTTCTTGGGAAAATATGCAACGGGCTCGCGTGTTTTCGTCTCCTGATATGGCAGGCTCTGATCCACGGCCGCCTGAAGATCCCAGCAGAATTGAAGGTTATGGTATGGTTTGGAATTCATTCACAATATGCAATGAGCCTTTCTTAGTATGCTTAATTGTATATATGTTAAATAAAATATGATCCATCTCAAAAATTTATGACCAAGATTTCTAATTTAAAATCTCTGAGCTCTAACCTTGGGAAAGTTTTTAATGGACAGTTTCCCTTTTCTCCTTTTTCTTTTTTCTTTTTGTATTGATCAGGTCTTGCTACAAATGTGAAGCTACTGCTAAAATTAATTCAAGAAAATAATGAGGCAAGTGCGAGGGAACAAGATGATCATCGGAAACCGCAGAGAATGGCGGGAATGATTACCATTCTAGATGACGTTAGAACGAGGATTCAGAAATCTCAATCCATGATTGGAAAGCGGAGCATGGCGGAGCTGAGGCGGTGCAACACAGATCTCCGCCCAAACCATTCTGTTCCTCGGGACAGGAAGCCTCAAGAACCGGTGATGGACGAAAAAGAACGGCTGCGGCGAGAGCTCACGGCAAGCCTGGTGGCGAGAAAGAGTCTAGAAGCAATGTGTTCTAGCTTGGGAAAGGAGAAGGAGATCATGGCGTCGGAGTTGGCAAAGAAGGTTCAAGAATTGAACGAATCGGAGGAACTAATTGAAGGTCTTAAAGCACAAAATGAGACGTTGTTGGGGAAAGTACAAGCCTGCGCGGCAGAGCACAAGGACAGAAAGTGCGAGGGAGTGGAGGCCCAAGAGAACGCCGCCCTTATGGAGCGGAACAAGGCGCTATCGGAGCAACTTTTGAGGTCCCTCGACGGGTACCGATCCTTGAAGAGAAAGTATCAAAATTTAAGAGACGAAAACGTAGGAATTCAAGAAACATTGATGGAAATGGGAGTGGAAGTGGCAGAAGGGCTTGGACGAATACAGGGTTTCCGGCAGCGGTTGGCCTCAAAGGAGGCAAGGCCCGTTGATATCGAGGAAGAGATTTCGGCTTTGGCAGAAATGTTGGAGAGTTTTCAGATGAAGATTTCAAAGCAAAGTGAGAGAAAATCAGGGTGGGATAAACTAAAATCTAAGCTCATTGCTAATAACAAGCATCTGCTTCAGGAAAAGAAAGGGTAAAATAGAAATCAGAGAGGATAATCCCAGAAATGTAGGCTCTGGAATTATGCATCTTTGTTAAGATGAGTAACAAAAATTTTGTATATTTGAGAATATTAATTTGAACTAATTCAGTTTTCTGGCTCAATTCTAGATCTCAAAATAGATGCATGATCAAGTATATATAATTAAAACATTCATTCATAAATGTCTACATTAAAAAAATAAAAATAAAAAGAAGAAGAATGAAAAACCAATGTCCATATTATACGTGTACAGGACCGTTGAAGCGGCAGAAAATGCATTTTGCATGATTATTCAGGAAAAGTTTTGCAGTTTGCATCCAGCAATGGAGTTCAAGACCCAGGAATTGCTTATTGCTTTGGTTCTGGTTGAAGTCGCCAGTGCCTCAGCATTGGATTTCCGCTGTTTCAAGATCATGTCTTTTTTGCAGGGGTCAGAGTTGTCAGCCAACTCAAGGCTGTAAACTATGTAGGTTGAAGGTATAGAGGACCCAGATAATGGGACTCGTTGATCTCCTGAAATGGGCTTCCTGTGTAGAATGGTTCCTCCAGCTGCAAGTACTAGGTCTTGTAGATATCCCTTATATGAGGGTACAAAATCTCCCATTAGATAGAACTTGAACCCATAAAAAGGCTTTGGTTGCTGGATAGATGTCAATTAAAACCGTCAGTATTAAAGGGAAACAAGCATGCAAGCAGAAAGAAATGTTAATATGCTTAGTAAACCATAGAAACTTCTAGGTTACTTGATCAGGATAAAAAGTGGCTAGGTCAGTAGGTAAAAACCTTGTTCAGAAGTCTCAATCTTCCAAGTCGTGGACCATCCCTGATTCCATGAATGTCAACTGCAATTTCATATTTTTCTTCATCAACTGGTTCCATGGCCTTCATGCAAGCTTTAACCCCTGCAGAAAGCACAAAAAGTTATAACAAAACCTCACATAAAGGTAATCATCTTCAGCTAACAAATTACATGTACTTTATAGTAACAAAATACTAACATTCAATATTCAATATCCACTTTCCCTCCAAGATACCCATTAAAATTTTGAGTGTTCTTCTGCTTGCTCCATTTTCATCTGTGGATGCAATAACATGGGTGACACTTGAATCCCATTTCTTTAACACTGTCACTCCAGATGTCTTCTCAAATTCAGACACAATTTCCTGTGGTTCAAGTATTGAAGAAAATTGTTAGTTTCTTTATTCTTGTTAAATGAATCCTAGAAAAGAAGAAAACTAAAATCCAATGTTCACATACCCTCTCTTCGGCTGTAAGAGCAGAACAACAGATAACTAATTTGTGAGGCAATCTGCCTATATTCGGTGTCTGTTGCAAACCGACCCCATTTCTAATAACCACTTGATTGCATTGATTTTGTAGTTGTCTGGAAATGGGAGAGTTAGAACAGTCATGTAATGAATGGCACAAAGGCATCAGCCTCTGATGAATGCTAGAATAAATTTCATGAAAACTCAACGTACTCTTTTGAAACACATTCCTTTCTCCTTTCTTGTGATTCTGTAACTTCATTTGGCAACTTAGAAGAGGCATGAAGAGGGCACAGCATTACAAAATTGTTCTGGTGCCAGAGATTCAAACAAAGAAATTGAAGAAAAGACAAATTAAAACATAAATAGAAAGAAGTTTGTGTCAAACATTAAAAGTAGGTCAATCCATCAATGTGCATTGCACTTACAGTATCCCATCGGCACTGCGACATCAGCCTTGCACAAGGAACATGAAAGCTCTTGCGACAGTTCTTCTCATAACACCCCAGAGCTGCACCTTTCAGTCCACAGCAAGAGCATTTTATTCTCCGGCTTCTAGACAATTCAGCTTCAAGATTAATTGCAGTATCACCTTCAAAGTAAACATTAGGCGCCCTACAAATATTTTTGAAAAGTTATGCCATAGAAGCTGAGTAAACTATAACAGGTTGCATCTTTTACATAATAATAATCTTATGAGATCATCTAAAATGCACACAAACTACATGGATAAAGCATGTAGTACAGCTAATCCCAACCCTCTCCAGGGATTTTTAGCATTAGAGCATTCAACCAACTAATCACTAGTTTAAATGTAAAAATTTAGGAGATGTGATGATTTTTTCTATTAGATATGCTAGCTTTTTAGGTCAAACATACTCAACTTGACTTATTCAACAAAATTAAACACATAATGTTGAAAAAAAAATCCATTTACCATTCAGCGCAATTCTTGTGTGAATGCATGATCTTGGAGCTAGCAATGTAATCTTGAGTGACAGGCGTGCCATTAAGGTAATGGACCATCTCACCTGCAGCCTGCAACATTTCTTTGAAACTTTAGAAGATGCCTCATCAAGGTTTGATTATTTCACAGACATATGTCGGTAGAAGAGAAATAAGGAAGAAAATTATGTGCTAAAATCTCTAGGTGCTTACCTCAGATTCTTCTGAAGAATGACAGAAAGCACATCGTATTTTTTCAGCAAATGTTTGACATTTTTGCAAAGCCACTCCATTTTCCAGAGGAAGCTTCTTTCCTGTACATGAACCTTCTAAAACTCTGTTATTAGGGCTGCCTTGGAGTTGTTCAATTGATTCCTCCCAGAAAACATTTCTAATTTGCTCTTGATGGTCTTCAACCAACAAACTTGTTGAGTTGACATTAAAATCAACTTTCATTTTTTTCTTACAACTTTGGCCTTTCTTGCCTCTTGAACGCAAGGCAGATTTTACTTCTCTGGCTCGTTTGATGGGCCTTTCAATGAAATCAGGAGCATCCTTATCATCAGCTAGAGAAACAAATAAAGCAGACTTCTGCAATGTCATATCTTCATTTGCCTGATTTTGATCTGCAGAGACTTCTTCCAGCACATAAACCTCAGCAGAATCCAGATTTTGCTTCTTTGACTTTGAACCAGAATTTCTTTCCCTCTTTAAATTCTGATAACCAGCATCATCTAATTTTTTACTAATTGCAGCATCGACCATATTTTCCTTGCCCTTACAGATAGAGGAATAACAAACATTTTCAGTTGCTGCCTTAGTTGTCTGGTCATCCAAACTAGCTTTATGCTTATTCCTAGTCTTCTTGGAACTCGAAGAACTTCCACTTTTGCCAGTTGGTTGCTTCTGCAAGGAACTTTCAGATGCATTCTTTAAATTAGAATGAATGCTCGACACAAGACCAGTATTTCTTTTTGCAATCTTCCCTCTTGTGACTTTTGCCATGGCTTTCCCACTTATTTTCTTGAGCTTACAGTTCCTGACACAGTTTCTGGTAGCTGTGCTTCTGGAAGGTATGCCTGGTGCTACACCTTCTGAATTAATAGTATCAATTCCTTTATGTGTACACGGTTCCAGTATACTTGCACCCTCAGATGTTTGATGAATTTCACCAAGTTTATCACTGTTTCCAACCTGCATTGTCTTGGAATTTCAGCAAAGTAGAATCAAAATGAACTAAATGAAAAATGAGAAAAAGCAAATGGAATAGATGCTTAAATATGGTCCCTGAAATGAGATTGTTAGCACCTGAATCTTAACAGGACTAGGGAGAAGTTCAGGGGAACAGGGTCTTTGTGTCCACTCAAACATTTCGCTATCGAAAAGGTCTGCAACATTGGAGTTTCCATGCACCTCAACCTGCATGATTTTGAGTAGACATAAGAGAACCAAATTTATGCTGTAAAGAGTTCACATTCTTCACAATGTTTCCACAAACATATAAAAATTTTCAAATGACCACAAATTTCACAAATAAACCAGTTTGGTTTAAAGCCAAATTATCCATGACAAACATAAGAAAAAGTGATCATGTATACAAAGTGTTCTAATCAATCAGTAACTGGGTGAACACCGAGCAATTTGCTTACTTCAGGGGAGCCTTCATCGTCAGAGTCCTTAAGATCACTGAAGGAAGGAACTTCGGGTGGTGTTGCATACAGGAGTTGATCACCATCAGTTTGCTGACTTGGCTTTTCTACACCATCTTCTGCCCTCAACCAAAAAAAGGGTAAAAGCACCGGTTCACCCTTTTCATTTAGAGCAGAACTATCCTTTAGAACAACTGAACTCCTTCCAGGTTCATCCTTGGTGTTTTCAGCGAGAACCCTTTTGTTGGTAGGAAAGGAAGACTTTGAAGGAATGGGATCACAATTTTCTGATCTAGATTTTCTACTAGAACCCCTTCTTCGAACCTTTCCCTGATTATCCGCTTTTTCCTGAGAACTCCCACCAATAATTTGCTCATGACAATTGAGATCATTTCCAACATTTTCAGCTTGCTTTTCATGATCTGCAATAGAGTAAGAACTTATGCCTCAAAGTAAAAATTACAGTTCTTGCAACGCAATCCATTACAAGCAACTAATATAAGACCTCTATGGCAACCATATATCTAACTCACTTATTACCTGATGGTCTATCCAAAGGCGGATTCTGGGTGACAAAAATATTGACTCCTGAAGCAACTTCCATACTTTTGTAAATGGTCACCAAGTTATCCATGTGAGGAGCAGCACGAACCTCTGAAGGAAAACACAAACTAGTTCTAAGAGAAAATGATTATAATTTATAACAAAGCATCATTATGTACTTTTTCCATATAATAGAAGTGAAAAGAAAAAGAGTAAAATTGCCTCCTCAAATTCAAACCCATACAATTACATAGTGTACTTGAGAGCTTTCAACTAGTTTAGAAACCCAATTTCTTGGGTATCCAATCAATTAAGGCATCAAGCATACCTCTACGCCGGTAGGGGACTTTACACACCGGACAATTGGAACCCGATTTCATCGATTTCATGATGCACCCACTGAAATTTTTTCACAGAATTACAGAATCAGATACGTACTCCATTTATCATTCCTCTAAAATTAGAGGGGGAAAAAAAACCATTAACAGGACTTACTTGCAGAAAACATGATTGCATGTAAGTGAAATCGCAGAATTCAACAGACTCAGGCTGCAGAAAACACAATATTTTTCAAAATTAAAAATAAATAAATGAAAAACCCTCAATCAAGCTTATCCTCCGGGATTAGAGAAGCTAAGATTTCAGAAATACTGAATAACTTTCTCAAATAGGGTAGTTGAAAGGAAATACCAAATAGGGCACTTGAGCTCTCTGCCCATTTTCTCCAGGTGACTCGGATCGGCCATTTCTGTTTCCTTCTTTCTTCGACGGAGGGAGAAGGAGAGAGAGGGAGTGAGAGAGAGTAGACGGCGAGGAGGACGAAGAGTGCGTAGGAATTTAGAGAGGCAATGGCGGTCGATTGCTTCGGAAGAATCAAGATTCCTTTTTAAAAATTTTAGCCCGCCATAATCCTGTACTCACTTGGCGCCGGCGGTATTTCTCCATTTTTTTGGATGATCCTCAAAATTTCAAGTGATAAATTATCTTGAAAAGTGAAAAGGAGTGTCATGATATTATTAGGTTTAAGTACCATTTTGGTCCCTCAACTTATCACTTTGGTACCAAAATTGTCCCTCAGCTTTAAAAAGTACCAAAATTATCCTTGAACTTTCATTTTTGGTACCAAAATGGTCCTTCCGTCAGTTAAACGCCAGGTGGCTCGTTAAAATGCCACAAAATCACCGGCTTTTTTGATTTTTAATGACGTGTAAATCCAGCAAGGACATTTTTGACACCATGGCATTTTTACACGTCAGATTGCTTCCCCACTTTTCATATTCGCTTTTTGTGGGGCCCACATAAAAAAAACAAATTGTTTCTTTTTCTAGTTTTAGTTGAGTTCCCCAAAAGTGGCAGTGTTCTTCGTCTTCGTTTCTCTGTCATTTCCCTTTCCAAAAGAGTTCAATTTGAAACCCAAAAAGCCCCAAAATCGCTCATTGACTTCTTGAGCAATCATGGGTTCTTGCAAACCCAAATCCGAAACTTCATCCAAAACTGTTCGAACTTTCTTTTGTGCAATCCTGAGAAATTTCCCCTTCCTCTTTAGATCTGTGTTTGACTTCATCTTCTCTTCAGATCTGGGTTTGATTTCATCTTTTTCCTCATTCCTTTCGTTTCTCATCCTTCTTCTGTTTTCTTCTTATTCTTTCTCTCTTTCTTCTCCCTTCTTCTTCCTCTCCAGATCTGGGTTTCAAACCCAGATCTGGGTTCTCACGTATGTTACAATCCAATCAACACAACACCCAAAATCTCCGATACCTCCCTACAATGGTGTATTCACAGACCTGGTTGCTCCTCCAGTTTGGGCCACAAGAAGTCGACCTTGGTGGAGAGACAAGCACCCGAGGCGATGGCAACGGTTGTGATAGCAACGTGGGTGATGGTGGAGGCGATGGCATCGGCTGTGCTAGCGACGTGAGTGATGGTGGAGGCGATCGCAACGGCTGTGACGGCGACGAGCGAAAGGCCGGTTCAACAAGCCTAAGAAAACCCAGATCAAACCCAGATCTGGGTTTTCAAACCCAGATCTGGAGAGGAAGAAGGGAGAAGGGAGGCTTTGATTTTGATTTTGATTTTGATTTTGGAGAGAAAGAATAAGAAAGATGATCTGATTGGTTTTTAGGGTTTTTAATTTGAAAAGGAAATGAAAGGAGAAACGAAGAAAACTGATTTTTGGGGAATTTGATTGAAAATTTGAAACTGGAAAAAGAGAAAAAAAATTTTATGTGGGCCCCATTAAAAGGAGAAACTAAGAAAATGATAATCTGACGTGTAAAAAAATGTCACGGTAAAAAAATGCCACCTCATAATAAAACATATCCAACTATATATTTTTTTCCATGTCATTAGTTAAACAAAAAAAAAAATTGATTTGCTGGCATTTTAACGTGCCACTTGTCATTTAACTGACGGAAGGATCATTTTGGTACCAAAAATGAAAGTTTGAGGATAATTTTGGTACTTTTTAAAGTTGAGGGATAATTTTGGTACCAAAGTGATAAGTTGAGGGACCAAAATGGTACTTAAACCT